TAACAATGTGCCAGGATAATGCCAGGTAGTTTCTTTTGTTTTCCCTTGCAAGTAATGAGATATCGCCTTAGGGGTTTAAGTGCAATTTGAGTTGCCTACCTTTATGTTAACGTTGCGCTCTTTTCTGAAAATCGCGGAACTTATTTTTTTAAAATATATGCCTTATCATAATAGATGGAAATAATATCTTTAAGTACCGCCGTAAAAAATACTGTCGGATTTCCAAATTGGTGCTGTAGGTTTTTCTACTCCCATTACAACGGCTGTTATTTACGAAAAACGATTTTTCTATTCAACGATCTTCCTAAAAAACTGAGACCGATATTTCAGCTTTTTTTAAGTACCGCCGTTCTTTTCATCATTGCAAAGAATATCCACTAACGAGAATTTGATAGACTTCAACTACAAAAGCAGCATTTCATAAGAAAGTTTAGTTATTTTTCCAATATGGCGGATTGACTACAGAGGAGCCTTAAATTTTTGAAACATATCTGGGCAATATGTAGTTTTGCAACTAGAATCCACTATAATCCTGTACCGAATTCAAATGCATAACCGATATTAGGGTCAACATGAAGTCTAATGAACAATTACGTTTATATAATCATTAGGTACCTATTATATTATTGTATAATTATAAATATTGAATTATTAGGTCCCGAAACATTGGGCCCAGGCATATGATAATTTGTTCCTTTTGTTTTTGCCAACTTCTAAAGAAGCACACTTTACTGCTTCATCATTGTCTCTATTATTAACAATATTACTTTGATAGTAAGAAAATCCCTCCTTTTCGACGTAGATTTTCATGTAGATTTTGAAAATGTGATAAAATACAGGGTGCTCTATTTAAAATAAGAGAGTTGCTATCCACATCCATTAGAACCGGAAGTGAAACGATCGTGATAATGTTTTCTGTTGATAGATCACGAAAAACTATGTTGGTATGCAATTTTCTAGATTTATATTATTAATGGAAGGCTGAAGATTTTTAGGTAACGGTTTGGGTGAAACAGCCTGTATACTAATGGTTAAACAGAGGAACTTTTTCAGGATTTCGGAAAATTCACCAGGCAGAATTTTATCCGCCAAAAGCTGAAATTATCCGGGGAACAATCTTAACGTGCAGCAACCCTATTATCAAAGATTTTCGCTGAAATTCTGTTATAAATCGGCCAAATTTTTCATTCATTTCCAGAATTTGTTTCGAGTTAAGTTCGTTTTCTTTTTTAGATCATATATCAACGTACAAAACAGAAGAGTAAAACTATTTTCTAAATAATTTCGCAGCACCAATAGAAAACAAGCAGGGAATGCATTGAAACTTTTGGAATGTATAGGTACGGAAAATTCATTAACGACGTGCGACATCCTCATGTGGAACAAACACGAATCTCTGCACTTTAGTATTAACCCACAAAGCTTATAATTATAAGCAGAACATAGTTTTGGAGGACGTTTTCCGATGTACGTAATTCTATTGGATTTTGGTTTGAAATTTCACATTGTCCAATTTCTAGTACATTTAACCGTGTGTAATTTCCAGCAATTACAGCTATACGTGGCTTTTGCCGTAGGAGTTGTGGAGATTACGGTAGTCCAGCCGTATTCTGCAACGCGTTGCATTGAAAATGTCTACTCTGCACTCTTCGCGAAAGGGAGGGATGAGATTTTGGTGGAACACCTACCTTCTGTAATTTGAATTACGAATGAATGAGGACAGATGGGCCCATTGTTTGGAACCTAAACTTATGGACTACTCTACTAATTTAAATTAGTCGAATCTTATGTTAGGTGTAACCTCTTTAGTCAGTGATGTGGGTATGTAGGGCCAGTTTCTTTTATAAAAAGCTGTATATACAGGGCTCCTGTTACTAAATACAACCACGTATAACTATTTATAAGAAATCGCAGAAGAGGTACACACGTTTCCTTTTTTAGTTTACATTAATTTTCGACTTTGAAAACGGAATTTAATATTAGAGGGCAAGGGTGTATTCTATATATTTAGAACTACCTATTATTAAATTAAAATTTCCTCTTTAGGCGATCGATTTCCCCTTTATTAATGTCATCATCAGGCCGTAGCGTCTAAGAAGTTAAAATATAATAATAATATGTGGATGAATGGTAGTAACTTTAACATGTCTTCTTCTCTACTCGGCAAACCTGGTAAATTCATACCCATACAAAACAAGCATTTCCAATGCTAAAATACTACAAAAACACCTTAATAAACAAATCCACTTATCATATTAGCACAGATATACCCGCAACTGTAAAGTTAACCTCGTGTACGTGTTCGATTTCAATGCACTTTTGCCATTTTTGAACAATTCCTATTCAGAATATCTTTCCCGTATCCTGGTTGGCATAGGATGTGAAACGTGTAACGAGTGGTTTGATTTCGCGCCAAATTTCATTAAAAATTTCGAAATTTCTTGTCATGATAGTGAAGGTCACCCTGTATATTTCATTATTTGTTCCGGTTAGAAATTTTGTGTTTGGGCATTTCGGTTCGCTCAAGACTATGGTCCGATAGATTTAATTTCGCTCAGATTTAATTTCGTCGTGGGAAGAGTGCAAAGCTGATTGACGTCATCATGAGTAATGCGAGTTTTTTGTCGTTCGTTTATCAACTTTGGCGCCGTCTAGACCGAGAATAGGAGCGGATATAGCACCGAGCCATCAAGAGATAAGGAGTTTTCACGTCGTCAGCAGAAAACCGTGAGATCAGTTTATTCAGCAGTTCCTGGAGGTTGACGACGAAGTTAGAGTGGGTTAAGTCTTCTTTATCTAAACCAATGGGAGAATTTCTAGCGGGAGCCATTTTTGTTTTATGGTAATTTGGGTGTGGTTTTTTCATATATAATACCATAAGTAGTCGAAGTATTGTCGAATATTTTTGAGGTGCTGTCACGAATGCTAGTTACGCTGATTAATATTAAAAAGCGTAACTAGCATGAGTGGAGCAGCAGCTCAAAAATAATCTACAAATACTTCGACTACGAATGGTATTCGGAGGACTATCCAATGAATCAAAAGAAAAATTAAGCATAATTACCCACGCGAATGTATTTCCATGACAACAATAAACGTCAAAATAAATTATGGAAGTTGCTTTTCATTTTGCTATTGATTCTATTCGAACTTTTGTGCTCCAAGCTAATTCGTTATGAGTGATTAAATTAAAAGATGTGGTGATAAGTCGGTTGTCGAAATTGATTAACAAACTAAGAAGAATGTTCCGGTTAATACGACAAAATTTCGCGTCATTTCACTGGTGGAAGTTTGACAAATGTCATTGAATAATCGCATTGAATTGTCGCTGAAATACCACACGTGCAATTATCACTATAATTCGTTCCCATTGGCGCAGCAATTTGAAATCGAGACATTTCACTGGTTGAAATGTGACAAATGTTAGATGAATTGAATAGTCATTTCAATTCTGAAGAAGGGGATCGTTTTTGGAGAGACTCGCGGTTAGTACGTCAAGCGGTCAACACGTACCTTGAACGATCGTTTTGGTACACTTGGCGGTTTGAGCCACCGGCTTATTTCGGTTGCTCGCAGTGGCGTGCTTTTTGCACCCGTTTCGAAGTGTTATTTTCTTTTCGCGTTGATTTTTTGGCGAAGAAGACCCAGGTTCCAATCAGGTGATATTTTGGCGAACCCTTGAGCTTCACCCCAGTTTACTTTGGATGCAGTGAATCGCGTTAGGATACGTTGTGATTTCTCGAGGATATATAAGTCAAAGTGCTTCCCTAGTCCTCAAGGCGCATAATTTCGGGATCCGCCCCAGGTGGAATTTCCTACTAGTGCCGTACGGTCATTTGTCGAAGGAGCGCTGCGTTTCGGAGAGATATTTGCCCCAAGAAGAGCTGGTGAAATAATACGTCGAACCATCGCGGTTTACCGTCGGATAGTGATCATAAAAGTTTGTGTTCTGCCGTACCGCTAACTCAAAAATCCGTCTCCCGCAGGCGGTCAAAGCTAATAAACTAATAAAACAAAATTAAAGACACGTGCTTAGAAATTTTGGCAACTAGCCGTCTCCCACTCGCCACGCGAAGGATTTCCTGGACTAAGTTTCAGTTCAAACGCTAAACTTTGCTTTCGTTCCGAGGAAGGATAGGCACCGTGGATTTTTGTTTCCGTGTGTTAAATTCAAGCCACCCCCTAGGAAGTCACAGAGACCTAAGTGTCAGGTTTCATCACATCCACCCTGTACCAGAGGAAAGAGCAGTTCACAAGATCGGCTGTACAAATGTTGTAAAGGTTAGTCTAATTAAATTTGTAACATTCTGTAAAATTCCACTTTTTGGTAATTAAGCTATAGTAAAAAAAAAAATTTTTTGATTTGATTGTTTATTAAAGTCCAATGAACGATTACCAAAGAGTAGGATAAATTTTTGTGTTTATTTAAATAAGTCCCAGCCCACGCTGGATTAAAAACCGATTACCTGTTGTTGCAATTTTCAAACTGTAGAGGATGGCCACCCCTTGAGTAAATTAGTTTCACCTGATAGGATTTGTTATTTAGTTTAGTTGTCATTGTTAAGCTAGTGTTTTTACAAGGAGGAGAGAAGAACTGCTAGATCCCTGTAATTTGTTTGTATCTCTAATATCATTTAAATATATTATCTATTTGGGTTCTTTAACGAAGAACGAGGGGTAGGAAAGGGAGGAGTAGGAGTTGAGGCAGGAGATTGGTAGGCGGCAGGTCAAGGTTTGTTACGCAGTTTCAAAAGAGTTAAAAGCCCACCGATGTGAGTTAGCCGGAGCATTTATTTTTTATCGATTGAGCAGCCTAAGAAGAAGACGGTTTGCCTTGCCGGGCGGAACCGATGGTAATCTTCAAATCCAGAAGGAACCCCCGTAGCAAACGGAAAGGGATTCTTTATTCTTTATTCTTTATACAAGCAATGATAACCTTTCACAAATAAATCAAATGCGATACTTCGTATCTTGTGGAATTGCCAAAGATGTTTTGTATTAACAGGGTCGACCTTTAGTGACACTGAAATTGTTGATTACGGGGCTTAAATTGTGTACTGCGCTGAAATAGTAAATTCCACGGTAGTAGGGTAGCAATTCCTTGTGAATCGAGTTCTTTCTTTGTAAAGTTAGTGAGATGACGTTTTTTCTTCATTATGCATTCTATGGATTTATATCGGTAACTCTTCTGTTCGTAATTTTGTGCTTAATTTATTGCAAGAGGGCTAATGAGTATTGGCAACGAAAGAATGTATACGCTTGGAAGCCAACCCTGGTTTTTGGTAATGCGATGGACATTATGTTACAGAAGAAGCCACTAGGAGTACAAATTAAAGAGTATTATGATGACCTAAAGGCGCAACGAAAATCTTTTGGTGGTTATTACTTCCTAACACAACCTGTTTTGGTAGTGTCAGACTTAGACCTAATTAAGCGCGTGATGGTTACCGACTTTGAACATTTCACTGACCGTCCCTTACATATCGACGAAGAAGAAAATCCACTGACTGGATATCTTCCCGCTTTAAAAGGGGAAAGATGGAAAGCACTGCGGATGAAGTTGTCCCCAGCCTTCACACTGTTGAAATCGAAAATGATGCTTGAAACTTTACCGGAAACGTATGCCGATACGCTTATGGAGTTAATAGATAGAGAAACAAGAATCCATGGAGTGATTAACGTTCACGAGATTATTGGTAAACTAAACATGGATATAATTGCCTCTTGTGCGTTTGGATTTGAATGCAATAGTTTAAAAGAGGGAAATGCTGAACTTAAAAATCATTTGTTGAACTTTTTCCACGATCAGTCGCTAAGGGGCTCCATTATTCATATACTGTCATATGTTATTCCAAATATCTTCAAAATTATAAAGCTAAAGACTTGTAATGCAAAAATGATGGATTATTTTACCAAGCTCGTTACGGAAATTATTGCGATTCGTGAGAAAGATGAAATAGTGCGCAATGACTTTATGCACATACTTCTTCAAATAGACGAAGTGAGCAAACCTGATATGGCAAGTGAATCGACTGACGGTTTAAGTTTGAAAGAGCTTGTAGCACAATGCTTCGTGTTCTTGTTGGGTGGCCTTGAAGCACCATCGACAGTAAGTTCTTTCTGCATCTATGTACTGTCGCAACATCTTGAACTCCAGGATAAAGCCAGAGAAGAAATTAGAAGCGTGTTGAAGAAATACAAGGGGAAGATTTCTCATGATGCTCTTTCGGAAATGACCTTCATCGATCAATGCATTTATGGTAAAATATGAATTATAAATTTAAATCTTTAAGATTCATCTGCAGAGACCTTTAGAATGTATCCACCGGTAATGATTCACGGTAGAGCATGTACAAAGGAATACGTGGTTCCGGGCTCTAGGGTAGTCATAGAGAAAGGCACAACGGTATTTATACCAACTTACGGACTTCATATGGATCCAGATTATTTTCCCAACCCTGAGGTTTTTGATCCAGAAAGATATTCCAATAAGATTTCGGATGCGTGGATGCCAATGGGATGCGGTCCGCGAATCTGCATAGGTAATGATTAGTCGGCGCATAACAATTTTCGACGATATCTTTAGCTTACAGGTTTGGACTTCTCCAGGTGAAGTATGCCTTGGTAACTTTATTAAGGCATTACAAATTTGCTTTGCATTCGTCAACCAAAACTCCCATGACCTTTGATTGCAAAAATTTCCTCTTATATCCATCATCGCCTATATTAGTCATTCCTGAAAAACTTTCTAGTAATGATTCTTATAATCATCAACAGAATTTTGACTGCGATTTATAAATCATGGGATGTATTTCGGAACATGTTGCCGAATCAAATTAGTAATTATTAAATATTTTCATTTGCAAGTGGAATAATTTACAAATTCTGTTACCTACCATAGCTACTGATTGGGAGACTGTCAAGCTTCAGCGTTTCGGCACATCCACACTTGTTCAGCTATGTAGACTATCGGTCCAAAAAAGTTACAGCTCAAAATCACACTTGAGGATGGTTGGGTACTAAGTAGGTTGGGTATTCAGTTGTATCTTGTATCGGATTTTTACATGTAAAACGGATTGAAATGCACATGCTGGAATATGAGTGTAGTACTCGTCGAGCTGAAATTGTGCTTGAGAATTTGACGGAATTAATCCAATTTCAACATCGTTTTACAGATACGAGATTTTTAACAGAACCTGTCATTCAAATCGCGAAACCCTCGAAGATATTTGTTACAAATAAGCTATACAAATCGAAATATCTTATTTATATACAGACATGAAAGCGGCAAAAAAATGCATTATACTTTACAAACCTCGCGTTCCGTCAAATAAGATGGGAAAAATCCAATATTTTATATTTTTAATATTGTATCGTTACAAGGTATTGTATACTTCTCCGATAATGTAACTATCGTTTTGTTTAACTGAATTGATGGCTTTGTCTGAGAATATAAAGAACAGAAAGGTAAAGGTTAAAAAGCAAAGAGTTCGCGTACCGATGTAATGTAACAGAAAACTGCGGGTTTATAATAACTATTTGTTATATTTGTTGATGTGGGGGGCAAGGAGGTGAACGCCTCCTTTAACTTTCCTGCATGCTTCCTTCATTCTGTCGTCATCCAGGATCTAGGAAAAGATTACAAAATTACACTGTAACAACGATTGGCCAAACCAACCTATAATCGAGCAAATATGGCTGTTAATTTACTGACACGGTCCAAAACCTTATTTTTTCTTTTATTATTTCTTTTGGTGTACTGATTTTTGGAAACCCGGAACATCTGATCTTCGCATGTGTTTATAAGTAGCCGAATCCTGTTTTGTGTAGGGATCGTTTCGGCTCGACGAGTACATTAGTAAAAATTGGGTGGGAGAGAAGGATTCTTAGCCAAGCTAAGCTAAGCTAGAGTGAATCTATGTAAATCGCGTAACATTTTATTTTCAATTAGAGGTTTGAAAGGAAACGTTGTAATTGAAATATACGAAACAATTTCGGTGCGATATTTCTGAGATTTGGTGGCGGATATTTTTAAATTCCCATCACCGTCATCCCCACGCAGTTTACAGTTTTAAAATCTATTTCTGTCTTAAAATGTGAAAATGGATATACCAGGGGGATGGGACGATTTGACATATTTTATTCAATAATATTTTCTTATTGTAGTTTTTAATTACATAATCTCTCTGAAAGTGTTCTTGACGTTTTTTCGGTAAAAATAATACGAAAATGATGATGGAGCTGGGCCCGACGAGCAGCCAGGCGTGCCAGAAAGCAGTATCAGACAAGTAGGGCGGGAGATTCCGCAACGCAACTCCTCCGAAATTATAAGAGACTACGCAGGGAGTATAAAAACCTAATAAAGGCCAAAAAGACTAACAGCGTGCGTAATTTCCTCACACAGAACAGCTGCGATAACCCGTGGGGGGTTGTGTACAAGATCTTGAACACCAAAAAGGCAAAACACAACCGGTTCCCGCAGACGTACCAAAACCCGGCAACTGGCGTCTGGGCTACAAGCGAGTCCGAATCGGAAAGGGGTCTCATTGAGACTTATTTTCCGGCGGACGACAGTGGGGTCGATCTCAAGGGAATAATTTCAAGTAACGATCGGCACACGTCACCCGACGATCCTTGTATGACCAAAAGCGAACTACTGTACATTGTCAGAAACGCAAAAGATCACAAGGCGCCCGGGCACGACGGAATAGGGTGGCCCATTGCCAAGCGTATGATAACGAGAAACACAAAATGGTGGCTAGACCTTTACAATGTCTGTATCACACTAGGGCACTTTCCCGAAGAGTGGAAGGTTGCGAAGATCGTGTGGCTCCCTCAGCCTGGGGGAAAATCTATGAGGCCAATAAGTTTGTTGCCGGTACTAGGCAAAGTCCTGGATAAGTGGTGCGCTACTCGCCTAACTTATTTTATGGAGAAAGGGGGTCATCTTTCTGACAACCAGTACGGCTTTCGTGAAGGTCGATCCACCATAACCGCTATACAGAATTTGATGAATATAGTCAAGGCGAACAAGGACAAGGGACTTCACTGTGCGGTAGTCACCTTGGACTTAAAGAACGCCTTCAATATGGCTTGGCATGTGGCAATAGTTAACAGATTGGGAGAGATAGGGACCCCACGAAACATCTACGCCACTACGGTTAGCTTCCTTCTGAATCGCAAAATTGTGGCGGATTCAGGAGCTGTCACCTTGTCCCGTGGCTGCCCGCAAGGATCATGCCTTGGGCCGATCTTGTGGGTAGCAATGATGGAGTCATGGCTCCGTGCAATGCGTGGGCTGGAGTGTGCGCCGGCGTCGGTCGAGGCCGTGGCATTTGCTGACGACCAAGTCCTGGTGTTGGCGGGCACTTCGGCAAAGCGTATAGAGGCTGGCTGGCTTACGACCTGGGGAGAGTGTGAGAGCTGGGCAAAGCTTAACCATTGCGAATACAATACGCTCAAAACTGAATACATGTTCTGCCCGGTGGGTAGTGCTATACGTCCGCCTGAGCTTTTAGTATCGGGCGATAAGATAAAGCCTACGCAAAACATTAAATACCTAGGGATCTTGTTAGACCCGAAGTTCTACTTCATAGACCACGTTAAGATGATAAAAGACACAGCGGCTAAGGTGTCTAGTCGACTGTTTCATATTGCCGGTGAGAATTGGGGAGCGTCTCCAAACAACATTAAAACTATGTACCTCCATGCCCTCCGACCGGCAATCCTGTACGGAGCGGAGATATGGGGTAGCAGAAGCCTCGACTCTAGGGTCCAACGGATCTCTGAGAATATACAAAGAACATTCCTTTTAAGGATACTAGGGGCATATAATACCACCCCCACTAGAAGCTTGGAGGTACTATCCAATATTCCGCCTCTTTTCCTCGAGGCTAAACGAATCTTCGACGTATACGCCGCGATGTCGGAGGCTAACGTTGAGAGAGCTCCCCTCCCTAAAGACAAAGTTCACCCTGCTCACAGGTGTCAGTGGGTAGATAATACTATAAACAGTACGCAAGAGATTTACGTCGACGGGTCTAAGACAGTGGAAGCCACCAGGGCAGCGATGGTTGCGTACTCAGGTACGCACACCACCGAAATTAGGGTCGCAAAGCTACCAGACTACTCCACTACTTACCAGGCCGAGGCAGCGGCTATCTATCTAGCACTAGAATACATTCAAGACAATCCTCGAGACAGCACAATAATCAGCGACTCTCAGAGCGCCGTAAACGCCGTCAATGTATTCAAAGCCGGAACGGGCCAGATAAACGCAGTACACAAATGCCTTACAAACATATGGGACTCCGGCACCAAAGTGTGCATAAAATGGGAGAGTAAAGATACGCGGTCAGAGGGAAGCAAAGCCGCGGATAGGGCGGCGCGAAACGGCAGTACCAATACCGAGATTGCAATGCAAGTACCGAAATCTTACCTAAAGACTAAAGCGCGGAACGATATGTTAGCTCAATGGCAGAAAGTTTGGGATGAGAGTACAAAGGGGCGTTTTACGCACGCGATTGTGCCGCAGGTACCTCAAACCACCACATGGTGGAGTAGGGAGACGATATGGGCGATTACAGGGCACGGCCCATACAGCCACTATTTTAACAAATTCAGGCTCAAAAGACACAACGTACGATGTGCATGCGGAGAGGAATCTTCCCCCGAGCACACATTCTATCATTGCCCCTACCCACAGCGTACCAATGCGAGACAGGTAGCCCAAATGAAGTTACAACTCTCCCGATTAGAGCTGACCACGCTAAACCTAGGCGAAATGAAACACTCTGAGGTCATCGCAACATTAGAAGCGTTCTTTAAGGAGCTTATAGTTCCAACGGAGGACGAAGACGATTAGGTAAGGTTCATCTGCATCCCCCCTTCCCCCCAAACAAAGTGTCTCCCCAAATTGTATATAGACGGTCCCTTTACAACCTCTTTTAACATGTATGTTTTGTCCTCCTTTTATAATATGATTTTAAATTTTAAATTTCTAACTTGTTTATTAAAAATACTTTATGTGTCATTTAAAATGCACCATTTTACAAACTTTTAAAGCTCACACAAGGAATACAGGTCTTACACTACTATGGCGGAAAGACATAAGAGCATATAATATGTATAAAAGAAAATAACGTATCCAAGCCTAGACGGGATAAGTGACAATATACATATACACGTAAACTGCATTACACTTTACCAACAAAATAACTTATCCCAATTAACGAATTTTGCAGTAACAACCAGTCCTTGGAAGTTGTTCTAAACAAAAGAGGGATTTCCCCCGCTGATTTTGGTGCTGGCGGTTGGTTGGATGTGGGTTCCCTTGACCGTGGTTTCCTAGCGAGGGGGTGGTGGTGCCTTAAGCCCGAAAGGGTAGGAGGGCGGAGATTTATCTCCATGATTTAACTGTCTTAAAATGTGAAAATGGATATACCAGGGGGATGGGACGATTTGACATATTTTATTCAATAATATTTTCTTATTGTAGTTTTTAATTACATAATCTCTCTGAAAGTGTTCTTGACGTTTTTTCGGTAAAAATAATACGAAAATGATTTGTTGGAATCGAATTTCAAACATGAAAATTCGTGCTCATCGGTAAAAGGGTACCAAAAACTACGTTGAAAGATTTTACGGCGTAAAATTCACATTCATCTGAAGAAATGTGGCAAAAGTGTCTCTGTTATTTATGAATTCCGGTTTTTGCCCTTATGATGGTCACAGTAAAAAAAGAGAAAGTTTTTATTGATGCTTGTATAAAATTAAAGGCGACACCCGAAGGAAAAATATGTATTGTCTTCATTACTGAAGCCTTTTTACAAGTTTTTACAAGTGCAGCAGATCTTCCTTAAATTCCTGTAACTGTCTTTATTTTGCTTTCTGGTGGCCAAGTATGTCCCA